AATTTTTTATATTTGATATATTTAATTTAATTTTGTATGTATATGAAAATATATAGTAAGGTTAAGGACATAGTTTAGAATCAAATAAAAAAAAGATGGATAAGGATGAAAGAACTAGAATAAGCATGAAGAAGCATGAGAGAATGTGAGAATCTTTTAAATGAAGTAGTATAATGAAAAATGATAACTATTAACTAAAATAATATAACAAAAAATGACAATTTTTAGATAAAATGACATGTGAAAAGTGGTAACATTTTAGATGAAGTGACATGTGAAAAGAACTTTCAGATAAAACAACATGTGAAAAGTAGTAACCTTTTAGATGAAGTGACATATGAAAAGATTTTTAGATAAAACAGTAAATGAATAGTGGTAACCTTTTAAGTGAAGTGACATGATGAAATGTGACAACTTTTAGATGAAATAGTAAGACGAAATGGTAGCAACATTTCCCTCATGGCTCCCCACTCCTATAAATAAGAGATAGGAAAAGGGAGGCAGAGACATTTCGGATGAGAGAAAAATAGTGAAAAGTATAGAGGTGAAGGAAAAAGAGGGAGTATGAAGTGTGTGATATTTGAAAGTATTTTGAGGTTTTAGATAAAAATTTTGAAGAAATTCTGCAAAATTTATAAAAACAAGGAAAAGAGAAAGAGAAGAAAAATATGGATAACAATAAAAAAAAAGCTATAAAACTTTTAGGAAGGTAAGATTTTTCTTAAGTCTCGAAGTTCAGTTTCTCTTTGATTTTTAGGATTAGTTTTTGAGTATTGTGTTGGATATTTTTGAGTCAAGAAAGTTACTAAAAATCATCCCAAAACTCTACCAATTTTTTTGGAGGGAAAAGTCATAAATAAAGTTAGAACTCTACCAAAATTAAGACTACGACTGCTAAGGACCTAAGGTAAATGAATATTATGAATTCATAGCATACATAGTTTTGAAGTATTTTTCATATTTTCAGTATAAAAATATGCACATATTTTATTTGTCTTCTGTATTTGTTAAGTAAATATTTGTAAAGTTTTACTTCGATATAAGTATTATTTCACTTTGTATTTTTAAAATGTGATTTTAATATGTATGCATCACTCATTATGGAAAGAAGTTATTTCAAAAGTACTTGCATTATACTAGACTTCAATCTAACCGAACATAACCGTTCCGTGTTCAAGTATATTGGCAAAGTGATAAGTGTGTACCCATACATAACCGTTTCGTATTCGGATGTATGGGGAAACAATCTGATATGTGTGCCTTAACCGTTCCGTGTTCGGGGGGTAATAGTGTTTTAAAGTACTCATGTATGTCATTTCGTATTCGGGTACATGGAGAACCAGTGATAAGTATCTATGCTTACGCATAATATATGGTAACTAATTGATTCTCCATAATAGTGATGAAATATTCAACATGAATCTGTTTTCAAATTTGTATATTCATATTCTGATTCATATCTGTTTTAAAAAATATTTTATGATATATATTTTATTGTGTGTAAAGAAACTATATATTATATGTATTATGCTATGATTTTAGTATATTGCTTATTGGGATATTTTATCTCATCCCTCTGTTACCCTTCAGATACTAAAGATACCGTTGCAGAATTAACGGTGATACGGAAAAAATTTCTGAAGTCTAAACTTTTATATTAAGGTTACTATTTCGTATTTTTGTTTAATAATGTAAGTAAATAAATTTAGAACTTTGTACATATGTTTATGTTTTATATTTAAGGAATATAATGATTCTGCGACTCTTTTATTATTAATAAAGTTAAGTTATTTTACTTAACTCGAGTTTATATGATTTAAGAAAGTATGTTCCGATCATTACCCTATAAAATGGGGTGTAGTTCGTGACATTCACCATTATTCTTTTTATTATTAGCTAATTTATATATTATTAAGTATATATTAAAAAAATAAAAACTATAAAATATTTTTATTTATTAAATAAGGTCTTATTTTCTATTGGCTTGAACACTGACATATGCATTTGATAAGAAATGTCCAAATTAAATTGTAATTCAATTGTGATTGGACCATGGTTTAACAAATAATATCAAAACACATAATAATTTGATAATTCTAGCTTATCTGATTTTAGATTTTGTGAAAATTTAAATTGTAATTTATGATTATATAAATATGTGGTATCAATTTAGACATCAAATATTTTGAATATTTACATAAAAATAAAAAATAAAATGTGTAATTATAGAATTTTATGTAATGATCACACAATATAAATAATTTTAACTTAAACTTTTAAATATAGACGAATCATGTCAAATAAATTATTTAGTTATGTTAAGTGGGTTTGAGACATTATATAAATACTCAAAATTTTAAACGAATTATCCGAATAAATCTCTTAAATATTAAATAAAAAAAACATATTGCTTCTTTACTATAATTTTTATATGTACAAGTTGAAAATGGTCACATAAATAAATTTATAATTAAAGAACATTATCTTTCTTTAAAATAAAATCAAAATTGAACACTAGGTGAATCAAATCAAACAAAAAAAAAAAATAGTCCTTCGTTTTACAACCACAATTTATTTATTTATTACTAATATAATTAATTAGCGTCTAAAATCTCTCCAAGATTTGGCATAGAAATTTCTAGTGCTCCACCAAACGGACCCTACAAAAATCTCTCTTTATGTCCATGCGCATTACACACCCTAAATAATCCAAAACCCATTTGGGCTATCTTCTCAACTTGGCGCTTGGAGATTTGATTAGGTTAAATTTTTTATTTAATTCAGTCTCGAACCATAGTAATTGTCATTAACTAATATATAATTAGGTAAATTATTAAATTAATTCAATTTAACTTAATGTTTAATTAAGTATTAATTATTTTAGATCACAAAGAACAAAACTTGTTCGGTAGCCGCCTTTGTCTTAAGCATGAACAATAATTAATATTATTGAGTGAAACCTAGAAGAATTAGAATTATATATATTTTGGTATAATTATAACTCAGACGCATTATTTTTTAGAAAAAGATTCCAATAATAATATAATAAGAGAGTGATATAAGAGATAGAAATGTGGAAAAAATAAAGTCAAAGAATATATAGAATAGTATAAAATTTAAAATATATATTTTATCTTTTGCTTTTAAGTAAAATTATAAATTAAAAAATGTAAAGCTGATTCATATATAAATGTCAATGCAAAAGTTTACTAAATTCAAATAAATTAAATATTATTTCTGCAAATTTATATTATAAAACTATATCATTGTGAAAAAACCAGAGACAAATTATTAAAAAAATAATTTGGGATGGTTGGCAATATTTGAAAGAAAAATATCTTTCACCAATAATTTTAAAATTAATTTTGTGCATTAAGAATTTTGTTCCCTCCTAACATATATATATATATATAGCAATATATGTGTGTATCTACTGGTCGAGAGAGAGAGAGAGAATGCAAATGGTGTCGGGCGGCACACGGGGTTTAGTGATGAGAAGAAGAAGAAGAAGAAGAAGAGGAGGAGATGATTGGAGGAGATACATGCCGCCCTGACCACCCAATTCGACGCTTCACTCGGCAAGCAGTGCTCACTTGTCCGTTTCTGTCAATTTCCCCCTCTTTCTTCTTCTTCTTATTCTTTCGTTTTCTTTTCATTTTTAAAGAAAAGTGTGAATTACCAAATTAATATTTAAAATTTGATATTTTTTATATTTTGATTTTTATTACTTTTTGGTTACAATTTAATCATCAACATTTTACATCTATTTCAAGAGTTTTATTTTATTTTTTTATTATCATTTTTAATAGAAAAAAATTAAAATTATTAGACAATATTTGGAGATTTTAAAGATCAATTTACTTTAAATATTTAAAATTATTAAAAAATAATTTTTTTAAAAAAAGAAAATAGCTCATTTTGTGTCAATATAAATTGTTTTCTTAATTTTTTGTTTCTAATTATTTTACGATCTAAAATAAACTATTTTTGAACGTATTATAATGTTTTTAATTATTTTAATTTTTTTATTTAAAAGGTAAAATGAAAGTTAAACATTTGAAACAAATAAAAAAAAAAAAGGCTGATGATTGAATTTAAACTAAAAAATATTACAAACCAAACTGTAACAAAATGTCAAATTTCATGGATTAATTTGATAATTTGCGCACACAAAAAAATTTAAGTTCAAAGGAGCAACAAAATCAGATAAGTAAAAAGAAAAATTTAGTTGTAGTGTGGAAAAAAGGATTCTGGTTGTGTTGGTGTGTTTAATTTTGGTCTTTAAACCAGATAAGCTTGTAAATTGAGGTGGGTAAGTTCAATATCTGCAGAATCTTGATACCTCTCAATTCTCATGTCTTGTTTTTGTAGTTTGAGTTGTTGCCATCATCATTTCTTCTGATTCCCAAAATATGTTTATAGTTCTTTAAGGAATATATATATATATATATATATATGCATATATGGGTAGTTGATCCATATATGGCTGTAAGATGAAATAACGTGGCGATTTTTTAAAATGTATGTATAACATAAATAATGTTCGTGTTATATTTATACATTTTTTTATCGGAAAATTTATATTGATAAGCTCAACTGTAAACAATACGAATGTAAAAATATATTGCTTATATAATATAAACAATTCTGGTATTCTACCTCAAAAGCATCATATTTTCAGGTAACATTATAATTTAATCCCTTAATATTATTAACTAACATTCCTAAATTTACTTTTGAAAATATAAATTTGAATTCCATGCAGGATGCCACAAATTTGCAAAACCCCAAATTCATTTTTGTAGTAAATTCAACTTTTACGTGACATTCAATATTTCAATCTCATCAAATTTAACAAAATTCATAATAAATTCTTTTAATTTTATGTAAAATTATTTAAACTTTGTTAATTCCTCATAAAATTTAAACTCCCCTTAATTATGTTATACACACAAAATCAAGTTCAGGAAACAAAACTTTTTCACCAGGTCTTTTAGGTCTTCTTCTCTAACATATTTGTCACATAAAAGAACATCAAGGTTCAGACTTTAAACAACAAAGAACATATCATACTAACCCAGATGATAAACAAAAAATAAGAGGTGAAATAAAATAAACTGATGGAAGAAATGAAAACATTCCTCCCCTAATGTTCACAAATGTTCCAAGAGTTAAACATTTGATCTGCATCATACAACAAACCCTTCCTACCAAACTCTAAGACGAGAAAAAATTACCAGCTACAACTTCTATTTCTTACCACAAAGTCTCTTCTTTTTTCCTTTTTTCTTCTATTCACAAGCCAATTTGGTGTCGAAGCTGCTCAAGCAGATTGCAAAAGCTTGGAAGGCGGAGAGGGGATACCGGTAATCCATTGTGAACATATCCTTACCCACCTTCCCAAACTGCAGAATTATCTTGTCGTGCTCTGATTGGGCAGGCTGTGAAGGTGTTGGTGCACCAGCAGCAGGTTGCGTTGCAGCAATCAGCTGAAAATTCTTGACAGAAGCAACGGTTACTCTGCCACGAAAGTTGAGGCACCAGCACTGTAACTGTTCATGCCATCTTGGTGCTTTATTTCTAAGTACCAACGGTCTCTCCTTCCCCTCCTCTTCCTCATCTCGAGTTCCAACAATGTCAGAGAACCTAGCGCTGCTAAACTCACTAGAGTTTTCAATTGATTTTGAGAAAGAGATGCTGCGGAAGGAATCCTCAAGAGAACGAGGGAGAAGCTCGGGCTGGGCCAGGGACACTGCCACCTGGTTCTAGGGCTGAGGCAGGGATTGAGTGCATGGTACAGTGCATCCTGCGGAGGGCCTCTGGTACCCAGCACATTCAGCT